GTTCCATGTAATAAGTTATTTCACCACAACCCTTTTAAAGGGTTCTGAATTTCATCAGACTTTACCTCCAAAAGTTGAAATGAAAAATGAAAAAAATTTTAATACACATTTTTGACGGACCGCACCAAGCATATGTAAAATTAAGGAAGTGAGGAAGTGAGGTTGGAGAGAAGATATTTAGTTAGATGTACCATTTTTCAATTTATTTGCCCTCCTTATATATATATATATATATATATATTTATAGTAATTCATCGAACATGAAATTTGAAATTTGAGGGATTTCCATTTATGCAATCCTTTATAGTAATTCATCGAGCCTAGAATAATCTTTAGCAGCATGCAGAAAGCACTGGACGGCCGTTTTTGTCGTCAGCTGTACTCATCCACCACCGAAAGTCAAAACGGGACCGTTTCCATACAACGCAAACGTCAAACCAACTGCACCACGGTCCTCGGCGCCGAAGAAGAAACTAACCGGAATTGATATGGCGCCGCAACTCACTCCTGATACTCCTCCAAAATGTATGCAATACCCAAAAACAGTGTGAAAAATCCCCGTCTTGTTTTCACCCTTAGCTGCTCCTCACGAGCCTTAGCTGGGTGAAGCAAGGATGTACAAGTGAAGAAATTTGGGGAGATTTAGAGTAATGATATATAGTAATTCGTCGAGCCTAGAATAATCTTCAGCAGAATACAGAAGGCACTGCACGGCCGTTTCGTCCTATTTGGGACTCATCAGCCGTGCGCATCCAACACCGAGAATCGAACCCGGACCGTTTCGATACTATTCCGTGGGCATTTGCATTTATTTGGAGGGAATATCATTACTGAAAAACATGAGTGAAAAAAGGCGCTATATCAAAGTTTAATCAAAAATTCTTCATCGTCAACAAAGGCCCATGGTTGAATGTTTTAAATCATATAAAAGGTCCGGGTTCGATTCTCGGTAGAGGAAAAAGACCGAAGCAGAAACCCGAACTTCGTTACAAAGATTGCCTTAAAGAGTCACTATACAAGTGAGAAACTCTAGCTGAAGAACAGGTTTTTTAAGAGCTGGTATTGCTGATGGCGACAAGATCTTCCATGAGGCATCACAAAAATATGCAGAATTGAAGGGATCCCTGAATTGCCATGAGGTGCCAATCTGGACATGTGCCTAATACAATCGGATATGTCTGTCCAGGGCGGGTCTACTCACTCACCAGAAATAACACCAACACCAACAGTCGATTGTATATGACGATTTCGTAAGGGCATGCTTTGAATGCTCGACCTGCACTAGAGTGTGCAAGTCAAGGTTGGGCCCGACAAGGCATATGAAAATACACATTGGAAGTGATGATGATCAAAGTCAACTTCCATCACCCGGAGATTTGATATGCGACATATGTGACAAGAAATGCAGATCAATGGTTGTCTATTATATTTATAAATATTGTCTTTTTCTACAGGTTAAATCTGAGAAATTTTTCATATATATATATATATTATATATATATATATATATATATATATATATATATATTGGAGGAAATAGATACTTTTATTATACAGTCTCAGTTACGGTGGACTGGTCATGTCTTGAGAATGTCTGATGACAGGATACCCAAGATCCTAATGTACAGCCAGTTAGATCAGGGCTACAGGAATGTAGGACGCCCATGGCTAAGATACAAAGACAAGCTGAAAAGCAACTTGTCAGCAGTTAATATACCACATAACACCCTTGAGAGCTTAGTTTTGGAGCGGGTAGAATGGAGATCAACGTGTTTTAGTGGACTTAGCAATTTTCAATCTGCTTGTCTGAATCATCTTCAAGAAGCGAGAGCAAGATCTAAAAGGTCAACCAATCTAACAGTGATCTCATCTCATACTTGCTCCATATGTGGCCACCTTTGTAAATCACTAGCGAGTCTTAAATGCCACTTAAGATTAGCGCATAAACTTTCATATCTGAATCAATAAGCTGGCAGATTCTCATACGTAGAAACCGACGGGAGAGTCCATTATTGTTGAAGCTTGGATAAGCATGGAATAATAATAATACAACACAAAATGTACGTCAACAAAATGTATTGAAACAAGGAAAAGGTACACAATATTTACAGTTAGTTTTGGTACATTCTTGGGAAGACTGTTCCTGTAGAATGGGTTGACTTAATCGCAGTCGGGCAGAGTCTCTGGATTGGATTCTCTTAAAACTACTTCCCTGTCTTCCCGGTACCAACCCATATTTATATGGTCGGTACTCCACTATGTAAATTAGGTAGATCGTACCACAACAATTATATATATATATATATATATATATATATATATATATATATATATATATATAAATATATATATATATAATTGTCTTTGTGTATATTTCATGGAATAATATAGACATATTATGTCTATTTATTTTTATAGTAATCCTTTATAGTTGTCTAATCCGTTTCTTGATGTCAGGGTGAAATTCACCAAGGAAGGTGCCGTAGTTTTTATTAACCGAAGTATTTTCGATCTCCTTCAAGATCATCCTCAGGGATGAACTGCAAACAGAAACTCAGTGAAACAAGAATGCATCTTTGTAGTGAGTAAGTTGTAACTTTTTCATATAGACAAAAAACAATTTACAAAGATGCAACTTCGTTTCGGTGCATTTAGTTGCACCTCAACTGATGTGAACCAAAAATTATTCTGAACAATTCTGTTTGACTTTGTCGTGAGTAAAATGTTTTTGTTTATATGAAAAAATTATAATAAATGATTATTGCTCTACTATCGGTATTAAGCCCTCTTTTGAATTAATACTGCGAACATTAGAATTTATATTATTTTGTTCTCATTACATTAGGACATATATATATATATATATATATATATATATATATTCATGCATATTTCATTAAATAATATAGACAAGTTTTGTCTATTTTAAGTAAGTTTCTTTCATATTTCATATTGTCTGATAAGCTTAATAACATTATCATTGAAAGACGAAAGGAAACCACTATATTGATACATAAGCCATTATCAAAGATGACAGTTACATAAGCCATTATCAAAGATGACAGTTACATTTCAATATATCAAACAATACACGGACGAAAATAATAATAATAGTCTAAATTTTCCAAATATGAAAAATTTCAAAGCAACGACTAACTCGTGTATATATAGACGCGGAAGCATTTTTGTAAAATCGTGTCGCAGCTCGTGACGTCACACAAATGACCACGCGAGAGTGAAACGATAAAATTTAAGTATTTAAATTTAATAAAAATATATATATATATATATATATATATATATATATATATATATTTATCTGTATGTGTGTTTCATGGAATAATATGGACATATTATGTCTATTTTTTATAATAAGCCTTTCTAGTTCTCTAATCAGTTTATTGATATTAAGATGAAATTTATCAAGGAAAGAGCCATAGTTTTTTTCCTACCCAAGTACTTTCCATCTCCTGCAAGATCACCCTCAGGGGTGAATTACAATAAAAAACTTATTGTAACTGTGAATGTTGTGATGGGGATTTTATAATTATTTTAACATTTCAGTTTTTCAGTTAAGAAGTTTAGCCATCTTGATACATTTGTCGTAAGAATCACTGAAAAACCCTTTGAGTTATTCAGCCAGAAAGAGAAGAGGTTAAAATCATTTTCTTTCAGCCATATTGTTTTCCCAACCGAGCAATGGTGAGAGGGAAAAGATCATTCAGGCCTTCAGTAATAGTGCCAACATTCGTACTCCGGCTTCCATTTTCAAAGTCCATCCAAGAACCATCAACTAACCTGTTGAATATATATGAGCGCTCCTGAACTTAAATATTTAGAAAAAAAATTGTGCTAAAGAGGTCTAGATAAAATAATTTAATCGATCGAGCACTATAGGAATTTGTAAACAGTCACTATTACTGCTTATAATGCAAGACTCACCAAGCCGG